ATTGTGCCCACCCCTAACTCCAACTACAAAAAAGAAAATGAAACACATCAAAAGAGGAAATTGACACCTCTTGGTATGCAGGATTTTACAAACGAATCAATAATGATGCTTGATGCTAAAATAATGTTAACTAAATATGCTTTTAGTAGTACGAAACTAATGAATTTAAACCAATTGGAAAATTAGTGCTCAAAGAACTTCTATACACTTATGCAAAATGTAAACAATCTGTTTCCCTTACGTTTCTGTATTTATACAAAAAAAATGATCATTATCACCGACCGTCCATCCATGAATCTATATTTCTACCAAATCCTTAAGTGCATAATCGTTATAATTATGAAATGCAATATGTAGCCCATATCTAAACCACATCACATTGTACAATCTTATAGTTTCTATATTGAACTATCTATTTAAAACTAGATCAATCCATGTTACATTTTCTCACACCATCACTATCGTATATAGATAAATTTTGAAATCTAGGTAAATAAACACCCAAGTTTGAAGGAGGTCAGTCCGATCCGCAAAGAGCATAATGTGGTGTGTGTGTGTATGATTTAGGGGTTGCCGACAAAGACAAATGCAATAGCTGCAAACCATCTTCGATCAAACTTCCAACAGAAAACCATTAATTTACTTCAGATTTTTTGGCTCTTCCTAACAAACTGCATGTGATATGTGCATAATCCCATCACTAAGATTCCTGAGTCCTAACTCCAGCAAAGAATTACGAGTTATTTTGGTAAATGAGGTAAGACATGAAAACTTATTTGGGTAAATGGCAAATCATAAGATTGTGTTATTATAGAAACTAAGAAAAGGTATAGATGTACAATTTTGGACGAGAATATAGCGTGCGATAATATTTTTTAGATGACCTTTGAAACTATAATCATTTGGTATTCATATACGTTGGTGTATTAATATTTAACAGATATATAATTATAGATCACACTCATATACGGTGAAAAGGATAATTCATTCAATATATCCGTGTAAAATAGCATATCATGGATAAAAATCACGCGGTATGTGACAAATTGATTATGTAAATAACTCCGTGTAAAACTATATTTGATCAATTATGAGTTCACATAGAATGATAGAAAAATAAGTGGAATA